CATTTAACATGTTCAATTACTTTCGATTGTCTTTTACTGTATGTTGAAGTTGTAGGCCAATCTTGTTGCGTGCCAGAAGTATTTAAAAAATAAACCGGGAGTGATCTCCCCTAAACTTTCTCGAATATTCTTATATGAAACAATAGTTGATGGCATCTCGGGATATAGACATGATTTATAAAATCCATTTTAATTACTTAAACTTTTTAAATAGAATGAAATCTCGTGGAAAAAGAAATTGTAATGAAAATAAAAATTGAATACCTTTATTTAAAAAAATGTTATTAACAAAAGAATAAAGTGCTAATTTAAAGTTAATTTTAGTTTGAATTTTCTTTTTTCCAGAAACTGAAAAACTCGGTAAATCGTAATTTACAAAATGCTACATAATAATAAATTACAAAAATAAATTGACTTTTTGCTTACAGGTTTTTGATCAAAACACATCTTTATTTCTTTGTGCATTATTTATAATTTAATTGTTAGTTGCTTCCCTTTGTAATCTTCATTTTACTTTCTCGTACACAATATACTGCAGAAAGTGTTTTAATCGTGCTGATTGATGAATAATTAACATATATTTTAACAGTTTTCGCCGTTTTACTCATCCCTACTTTATCATACGGAATAAAAAGGAAGTATTGTAATCGTGCAAAGATCTAAGTCGAGATTTCGTTACATGTTGACGTTTTATAGCCTCAAGGATACGGAGAAATTAATTTTGCATATACATATATAACTATCTTTGAAGCACTTTCAATTTTGAGCAATCTCCAATTATCGGAAGTGTACCTGTACTCTTTCAAGTTTCTATAACACCCATAATTTTGAGTACCGTTTCAGTTAAGTCGGCGACATTTCCCACATAATATTCTCAAGATTCCCTCAAATTCTGCGTGGTTTCCGATTAACGGAAGTAGTACTTAACGCGAATTCCAATTTCTCAAGAAAAAAATCATGCGAAATCGATAATTTTACATCACTTTAGGGGCGTAAGTCTTTTTTCTACGCGGTTCTATTCTATTATATTCTAAATTGTGTATTATATAGCGGAGAATTTAGTGCTCTTTAATGGTGTATTTCGCCTTCTTTCTGATTTCTCAAAGGCATTCAGAATTTTAAAATGGAATATCATATTCTCATAAAACTCAATCTCAGTAATGTTCACTTTAATGTGTTTACTCAAAAACTGAGCGTCATTAATTATAATAATTATAATTCTGGGATATGGGTAACGTTTACGATCAAATAGACATAAGTAACATTGTTTTGCCGTGTGTAACTGTATTATGATAACATATTTATATAGATTGTGTAGCCTACATTAGAACATTCCAAAACATTAAAAGTTCATTGAACTAATACATAGATCTTCACTAGTGAAATGATCTTCATTATGAATGTAAACGACTTTAATATTTCATTTTTAAACAATTAGGGACATAACTCCTGTATATTTTATTGTTTAAAAATATTCTGTATTCCTTCCCCTTCTACACATAAAATAGATTTTTCTTTTTAAAACTATGAGTTTAAAATTTGGAAAGAAAAATGTGCTAATGTTTAGTGACCCCATATTTAGTGACCCCAAAACATTCCCTATTTAGTGACCCCAAAACATTCCCATTTTAGTGACCCCAAAACATTCCCTATTTAGTAGCCCGTGAATAGTAAAACTATTTTTCCTACTGTGGTTTATAAATAAAATGATGGAACCCATTTAAAACTCAAACTTGGTATGCCAGTGGAAGTAGAGTTTATCTGTTGTACAGCGATGAACTGCCATCTATTTGTTGGAGCTGTTTAGTTCTAACATTCTTAAGTGATGTTAAAATCCTGGACCCTATAAAATTTTGATTAATTAATTATCAATCAATCCTGTATCTAGTGTACCCAGTTAGTTTTAAAATTTCTTGCTAAATATAATTGAATTCAAGCTAAAGTAATTTTTTTTACAAAATTAGATCAGCTTTGGCACCAGGTTCTATAAGGTTATTACGTGACAAGCAAAATGACCTTTACTACCATACAAGTGCCTACTCTTGACACAAACATTGAATTGCTTATCCGTATGAAAAATGCGATTAATTAATTAATCGGCAATAAACTTTGCTGATTCTATTTGGTTTTATAAAACAAACTAAACTAAAAAATAAAAGTAACTGTTTGTTAATTAAGCCTAAACCGCTGGTTTAAAATAAGTCTTTTGTAAAACGGTGGGGCGCCAGTATGGTGCGCTGATTTTGCCCTCTTCAATGGGTGCTACCTACTTTGACTCCGTGGGACGTAGAGCCTCAACCATAACCTTCCACTTTGTCCGCCTCCCCCCCCCCCCCGGTTTTGGATTTTCCAGCCTCCCAAGACATCCCTGCTGTCTTCAGTTCATCAAGAAGACTCCGTCTCCTGGTCTGTCTTGGGCGCTCCCTCTTTCGCTTTCCCTGGGGGTTTCACTCACGCGCCTGATGTGTCCATGTTATATTACTTAGATTCGTTGTCCTTAAAACAGTGGATTTCATCAAGTTTACACAAACACTTAGACATGTAAGTCTCTGACCACCTCTATACATCATGTCTCTCTCACAGAACTGAACACAAACACAAGGGACATTACTCATCACTATGATATGTAGAATACAAGGGACGTAACAATAACTAACAAGACATAACGTAAAAATCAACACTATCAAAGGCCTTCTCAAAGTCAACAAAGCAGATGTAAAGCGGGGCTTGCTATTCTATCGTCTGTTCTACAATAATTCTAAGAGTGGCTATTTGATCTGTACAAGATCTTTCCTTCCTAAACCCTGCTTATTCCTCTTCAGCTTAAGGTCAATTGCCTCTTTCATTCTGTCCAAAATAACTCTGGTAAGGACTTTACTTGGGATGGACAACAATGTAATGCCCACACTGAGATAAGTCACCGTTCTTAGGCAACTTCACAAGGAGGCCCCTTTTCCAATCGGTTGGGATCTGTCCTGTGTTCCAGACCTAGTTAAGTAGTTTATGAAGTCGATTTACTACTTCTTCCCCACCTTGTTTTAATGCCTCTGCTGGGATATTATCTGGTCCTGATGCCTTGCCGCTCCTCAAACTATTTAAGGCGTTGAGCATTTCCTGTCTGGTGATTTTCTCGGTATATTAAGGGGTTTCCCTAGCTCTAGGTATGTGGATCTTGTGGTACAGGTCTGATCCATACAGCCATGTTGCTTCGTGTAAATGGTAATAAAACAGATAGTGTTAGTTACCTCACAAGTTAAAAACTGTGTGCTGACGAAATCCTCGGGTCGAAACGTCCAAAGTATTTCTGACTGTTGTTAACTTTTGAGGTAACTAACACTATCTGTTTTATTACTAACTGCATTAACCTCACTGCAGCCACCATTTGTATTGAGATTAGTGGTGGTTGACAGGTATTGATTTAAATATTTAAAAATTAAAAGTACTTAAAACTATTTTAGCATCCAAATTTTACAAGGGTGGGGTGGAAGTTTGGCGGGGCTAATATCTCCCCCCCCTCCCCTTTCTCCCCCACATGTACCAGTCCAGAAAAGTAAGTCCGATTTTCGTTTCAGTTTATATTTATTCTGTATTCAAATGTTCACAAGGGCATAAAAAAACCAATGACAATAATTTACAAGTACTACACAAACAATTTTTACATAACTTTTTGAATGAACAGTTTATGGTAGAGAATTATTATTTTTAAAAATAGTATGGATGACGAGAATGATGAATTTTAAGAAACAATTCTATTTTAGTCTATGTACATATCTACATAAATTTTGTACACATTCGTACACACGATGAAGGGATTCATGAACTGGCAGCAACCCAACAAATTGTGTACACATTCCTAGATTAGCTTTACGCATTTTGAAATTAAGAAAAACTTCAAATGTGGTTTGTGTTTGCGTTTGATTTATGTCGTGTGGTTTACATTATGTCAAAAGTTATGTCATTTGTACATATGTTGATATGTACAGACACAGCTTGCTAGAATATTCTTTTATATAGCCGCACAGCAGGTTGTGTACAAATAATACACGGTGTTGAGAAAATATAATAGTATAGTATTTATAATACATGTCATCAAATTTATATAGTAATCAAGCCATTATATTTATAAAATAATATATTTAATACATGTCATTAAATGTATATAATAATGTATAAAAACATGCCACCAAATGTATATAATAATATAAATAACATGCCATAAAATCAGAAGCACCAATTAGAAAATTTCGATAAATATCAGAATTGATATTTAAAAAATAAAAGAAAATATTTTTTACATGTTTCAATCAATCGGTTGGTTGAAATTAAATAACGATAGACAAGTAAATAACAAACAATCTTTAATCAATCATTCTTACGTCTAACAATCTATGGCGAAACAATCCTCTATCAAACAATCTTCTGTCAACAGTCTTCATTGCTCAATCATTCTTAGGTCTAACTACTTGAAAGACAACCAGGATCAACAAACTACATGTAGAGCGTCTAGGTAAGATTTTAATGACGTCATCGATATTGACACATTCATTTCCATTAACAGGTAATTGATAACTATTTTTACCGTCATTATTTTCAATAATCCCTTGTAATACTCAAGATACTATAGATCAATTCTTTGTTTACCAAAAAAATGGATTCAATTCAGCACGCTGTATTTTCCCCTTTCAACTTCTTGACTCGTGTAGATAAAAATATTGATATAGATCGATAAAATATATTTCTATTCGATTTCTGAAAGATAAAATTATAATTTATGGCACATAACAGGTTGTAAATAGTTGAAATCTTGTTTACTTTCATCAATCAAGTAATTTTGTGATGTAATAGTTTAACATTGAGGATCTGTTTCCGTTTTTCTGATTAGGACAGCGGTGAATGTTTCCGTTGGTATGGCAACCAGTTGTGTTCAAATGTTGCAGCATATTTAAATTACATGACGTACTTCCGGCCACCCAACAAAGAAACTTGTGACGTACTTCCGCTCAGTGTGCGCACGCCACCGCGTGCCTGTAGTTGCAGATCTTGAGGCGGGGGTCAAACAGGGTCCCACCCGGACAGGCCATCACGTGATGGGGTTTCTTCTTCCAGGGGCCAGGTAAACACATGATGAAGTGGTTACACGACAAGGGGTCAGAGAAGGTGCCGACCCCCAATTTTCTGCAGACGTCTTGTCTCACTGAAGGAAAGAACAGGTATATCATTGAAATAATACGTATAGTTTAAACTGTGGGGTAATTATGCTTTTTATAATACATTTAAAATCAAGTTAATTAATTATTCTTTCCTTCATATGTAGCCTAAACATTTTGAGATTTTAAACGTTTTAGATTTTAAAAAATATATTTATTTAAACATTTTTTTAATAACCGTCCCATTTTAACACTAAAACTTGCTCAAACCCAATCTAAAACCACTCAACTCTCACAAAAAATAAATAAATAACAAAAACCAGAAACAAACGACATGAAAACATTAAAAACCTCAACAATTTAAAACGTGCTCTTAATATCTAATATCACATCAACATTTTCACATGCAGCAAAAACATTCAGTGTACTAGCAAATGTCTTTTATTACAGGCGGGGGCGTCAGTCGGGGGCCACCCTAATTTCCATACCCCGGTATGTCGTCAAAAGTGACAGTCGTGAAATATAAGTAATTTCAGAAGGCGACTTTTGTCATACCATTTGTTTGTAGTTGCAAATGTACTACCTTACCCCTAGTCTTACCGCCCCCCCTCCCCGCTTTACAAAGAAAAACAAATTAATCAGTGGCCTATTCATAGGCGTAGCGAGGGGGGGGGGGGCGGGGGGTGTGGACCGCCATTTAGGGGGGTGACACCAAGGCAAAAAAAAAGCAAAATATATAGAGAAAAACTTGAGGGGGGTGCAAATCGAAAGTCTGAGGGGGGGGGGGGTGCAAATCGAAAACTTGAGTGTGCAAATCGAAAATTTGAAAGTTTGTCCCCGGGAAGGGTCGCTACGCCTCTGGGGGGGGGGTGACACCATTAAGTGCCGCACCGGGTTACACCCGACCTCGCTACGCCACTGGGCCTATATGTATGACAGTTTAAAAAAAAATTCTGAAACACTAGAAAAGAATGTAGAATCTGAACACAGTTTTTAAAAATGCACTAACTAGAGCATTCTGAATACGCTTTAATGTTGTGATTAAAAACCCCACTCACCTAACTCGTCATCTGATTGGCTGTTTGTACCAGCGGGGCGCGAGATGGAATTTCTCCTCGTGTTGATTGGCTGATTTCTGATCGCTTTGATTGGTTGTCGGTCGTGGGTTGGCCGTGGGTTGCTCGTGGGTACAACCCGTCGGGTGGGTGGCTTCGGGTTTTGTTCTCCTGCCCACCAGTGGGTTGTGTGCCATGACGTCATTGCTCTATTTTTGTCACCGGGAATTTCCTGTTGGGTGTTCTCATTGGTAGAAGACGATACGTTCTCTGAAGAAAAGATACAAGTAAAGGTATGGACGCCTTCAGGGAGCTCTTCCGGAACTAATCAGTTTAAAAAACAGACAAGTATTCACACTACTAGTGTTCTTCAATGAACTCATCCGAAAACTAGGGGTGTTAGGTTGATAGTGGATTAGTCATGTTATGCTTAAGGGTCGTGCTATGTTTAAGTCTTTGGTTAGTGAAAACATAATGGCTGACCAGATTAATTGACTACCATTTCCATTGACTACCATTTTATAAGGATATTCAATTATGGTAGCTCTTTTTTTTTTAACGTGGGTAGAACTACTTACCCCCACAAATAAAGTTGGAAGTGTACAAAAAACGATGATCTACAAATAAAATTAAAGGTGCAGTAGAGTACACTAAAGATAATCCACCTTCTCACCTGGGTTTAGATTAGTGTGCATCCACCACATTTTCTGGACACCCAGGGGCGGGTTCTGGCGGAATCGTTGGAGGCCAATTTTTAATACAGGACTTATCTGTGCTAGGGTTATCTTAGGGGGGTGGGTTACTGGTGGGGGTGTCTTAGGGGGGTGGGTTAGTGTTGGGGGTGTCTTAGGGGGGTGGGTTACTGTTGGGTGTGTCTTAGGGGGGTGGGTTACTGGTGGGGGTGTCTTAGGGGGGTGGGTTAGTGTTGGGGTTATCTTAGGGGGGTGGGTTAGTGTTGGGTGTGTCTTAGGGGGGTGGGTTACTGTTGGGTGGACTTTTGATGGGTGGGTTACTGTTGTTGGGGTTACTGCCGGGTTTACTTTCGGGGTTATCTTAGGTGGGTGGGTTACTGCAGAGGTTATCTTCCTTGGATGGGTTAATGTTGGGTGTGTTATTTGTGGGTAGGTTACTGATTGGTCTACTGTTGGTGGGCGTGGTTTAACCTGTCTGACCAGTGGGTAGCGAGCTGTCTGATATTTGATTGGCGCGTGATTTATTGCTTGATGAACCAGTGATGGGAGTGTCGCTGTCTGTCTCTGATTGGCAGGCTGGATTCTTGTCGGATTAATGTATAAAGGGCGTGTCACTACTGGTGGACGTGTCGCTACTGGTGGGCGTGTCGCTACGGGTGGGCGTGTCACTTTTTGGAAGCGTGTCGCCAGTGATGGATGTGTCCCTGTTGGTGTCTCTACAGAGGGGTTTTCCGCTGTTGGTGGGAGTGTCACTGTTGATTGACGTGTCGCCAGTGATGGATGTGTCCCTGTTGGTGTCTCTACAGAGGGGTTTTCCGCTGTTGGTGGGAGTGTCACTGTTGATTGACGTGTCGCCAGTGATGGGTATGTCCCTGCAGGTGGGTGTGTCACTGTTGAAGGGTGTGTCACTGTATGTAGTCGAGTCGTCAATGATGGGTGTGTCCCTTTCACTTGGCGTGTCTCCAGTGATGGGCGTGCTAGTCCATGTCTACCCAACGCCCCGTACTTTGTCTCATGTGTGGACGTGTAGGTTTGATGGACAGTTTGTTCCATCTGTTGAGCGGGCGGGGCTGTCTCTGTCAACAGCTGATTGGTCTGGTCTGTCTTTGATATCGATTTTACTGTATTGATCGCGTGAGATGACCGATCGGTCACAGAAGGTGAAGGTCCAGCTTTTGACAAAAATATTTTATCCAGCCATGGCAAGTCTATGCGACTAAATTTTGTTGTTTCTGTGCTGTGGTTTGAACTCCTATTGGTGAAATGAAGAACGTCTTTAACATTTTGTTTTAAAGTCTTAGTTGGATTCGATCCTACACCCATGTTGTGAGGGTTCGTTGGAGTTGGAATAGTTGTCGGTGCAGTCGAAATGTGAGGACAGTTGGTGGAAGGGTTGGGGTTTGAACCCTGGGAAAGTCTGGTTAGTTTTTGAAAGACAAGATGCCGGAGGGTGGGAGTTTGTGTTGGGGTCTTTGTGGGGGCCTGTGTGGGGGCCTGTGTGAGGGTCTGTGTGGGGGTTTGTTTGGGGGCCTGTGTGGAGGGTTGTGTGGGGGCCTGTGTGTGGGTCTGTGTGGGGGTCTGTGTGTGGGCTTGTGTGAGGGTCTGTGTGGAGTATTGTATTGGGGTATGTGTGTGGGCTTGTCTGAAGGCTTGTGTGGGGGTCTGTGTGTTGGTCTGTGTGGTGGCTTGTGTGGGGGTATGTGTGGAGGCTTGTGTGTGGGTCTGTGTAGAGGGTTGTGTGTGGGTCTGTGTGGGGGCCTGTGTGGAGGTCTGTGTGGTGGCCCGTGTGGGGGTATGTGATGTCCTGTAGTGCTGTCTCCGTACAACTTTGTAGGTCAGTTCCTGCTTACTTGCTGGTGTCAAGGTCTGTAGGCGGGGCTTGCTGGACGGGGTGGGGGTGTTTGGGCGGGGCTTTGTTTGTGGAATGGCACTTTCTGGGCGGGGCTTTGTTGTTGGAATGGCACTTTCTGGGCGGGGCTTAGTTGTTGGAGTGACACTTTGTGAGCGGGGCTTAGGAGCCGGGATGGAGCTTTCTTGGCGGGGCTTATTTGATGGAGTAACACTTTCTGGGCGGTGCTTAGCGGCTGGGGTAGAGCTGTCTAGGCGGAGTGTTGCTGCTGAAGTGGTACTTTCTGGGCGGGGCTTGGTAACAGAAGTGATACGTTCTTTAGCGGCAGGGCGTGACTGGAGAAGAGAAAATATTAATTTGTCACGTGGTTAATTAATCAAACATCTGCTCCTCTTTGTCTAATGGTAGTAGTCATCTTAAACAACAAGTTTATAAAACTAAAGACATATCTAATTTAAAAAAAAAACGACAGTTTACAAAAAAAGAATCGAGCAAAACACACAATACACACATAATGTGATGTAAACGGGTGTATCTAGGCTAAAACACTCCGTGTTGAGTTTTGAGGATTGCTTCAAATATGTTCAACAGGAACAACTTAAATGTTTACCATCACACATTTTTAGAACAAGTATGACTGAATACGCGTTTGGTTGGCCTGGTTGGGTGGTTGGCGTGGTTGGCGTATGATTTCTAACCGTTCGACCCCCTCACCCCCCGGGCAAATGAGGCTCGTTAGAGGGACAGAAAACTCCAAAATCAAACAGAAATGGAGCCTTCGATGTGATAGGACTGCCACCTCTAGAACCTTCTATGCGATAGGGCTGCCACCACTGGATTCCTTGTGGAAACTTCTATGAGCCCATGTTGGTACAAAACAAAATGTTTAGCTGCCATTGTTTCCCAAAGCCACAAAGAACCATATAAAAACTGCGCATGCGTACTCACCACAACACCACGCCCCAAAGCATCGACCAGTGTTGACAACAGCGGGTACTGTCCTTGACCGCAGATGCCCCGGAAGTCGTCCATCTCGACGGACCAAACAAAGGCCCCGCCCAATTCTCGCTTCATGATATTAGCGGCCTGAAATTTCAGTTTAATCAAAAATTAACTTTGATGTATGGTAACTTGTATGTTGAAAAAAAAAGCAGTAAACAAAGAAGAGTGAAACGCTCTATTTCAGGCAAGTTTAAAATAAGTTAAATTTCTTTGTCGAACTTCTTGCAACTAATCTAGTCTTTCAGTTTTGGCCACAGCAAACAGAATAATTTAATCCCAGATATTTTTGGACGGTCGAAAAAACGTAGCCAACTTACACACATAAAAAAGTCTCAATCATAAATATTTGGTCACAAGTTGGTTGAGAGTAACAAACTGATGGCCACAACTTTGCCGAGATACAGCAACATTTGGCCACATAGTTGGCCAGTAACCTCCATCATCTGGCCATTACTTTGTTGACATACAGTAATATTTGACCACAAACTTGGTAAGTATCCACTGAAAATTGGCCACAAAGGTGGCCAGCAGCCACCAAAAAATGTCCACAAAGATGGCCGACATTGACCCACCTTGAAGGCCACGCTCTTCCGGTTCTCAAACCCCACCCACTGATCGCCGCTGTATGCATACGGCACCACCTGGTCATCGACCCATTCCTCACGCCAGTTCTTGTGTTGGAGGCTGGAACAAATCTGAAACAAGCAGGGACATTTGTATAATACAGGCTAGGACAAATATGAAAACAGTGGACATTTATATTGTACAGGATGGAAGAAATCTGAAAACAGGCAGGGACATTTGTATTGTACAGGATGGAAGAAATCTGAAAACAGGCGGGGACATTTGTATTGTACAGGATGGAAGAAATCTGAAAACAGGCAGGGACATTTGTATTGTACAGGATGGAAGAAATCTGAAAACAGGCGGGGACATTTGTTAACTACAGGCTGGAACAAATCTGAAAACAGGCAAGGACATTTGTATTGTACAGGCTGGAACAAATCTGAAAACAGGCAAGGACATTTGTATTGTACAGGATGGGACAAATCTGAAACAAGCAGGGACATTTATATTGTACAGGATGGAAGAAATCTGAAAACAGGCAGGGACATTTGTATTGTACAGGATGGAAGAAATCTGAAAACAGGCGGGGACATTTGTTAACTACAGGCTGGAACAAATCTGAAAACAGGCAAGGACATTTGTATTGTACAGGATGGGACAAATCTGAAACAAGCAGGGACATTTATATTGTACAGGATGGAAGAAATCTGAAAACAGGCGGGGACATTTGTATTGTACAGGATGGAAGAAATCTGAAAACAGGCGGGGACATTTGTATTGTACAGGATGGAAGAAATCTGAAAACAGGCGGGGACATTTGTATTGTACAGGATGGAAGAAATCTGAAAACAGGCAGGGACATTTGTATTGTACAGGATGGAAGAAATCTGAAAACAGGCGGGGACATTTGTTAACTACAGGCTGGAACAAATCTGAAAACAGGCAGGGACATTTGTATTGTACAGGATGGGACAAATCTGAAACAAGCAGGGACATTTATATTGTACAGGATGGAAGAAATCTGAAAACAGGCAGGGACATTTGTATTGTACAGGATGGAAGAAATCTGAAAACAGGCGGGGACATTTGTATTGTACAGGATGGAAGAAATCTGAAAACAGGCAGGGACATTTGTATTGTACAGGATGGAAGAAATCTGAAAACAGGCAGGGACATTTGTATTGTACAGGATGGAAGAAATCTGAAAACAGGCAGGGACATTTGTTAACTACAGGCTGGAACAAATCTGAAAACAGGCAAGGACATTTGTATTGTACAGGCTGGAACAAATCTGAAAACAGGCAGGGACATTTATATTGTACAGGATGGAAGAAATCTGAAAACAGGCAGGGACATTTGTATTGTACAGGATGGAAGAAATCTGAAAACAGGCGGGGACATTTGTATTGTACAGGATGGAAGAAATCTGAAAACAGGCAGGGACATTTGTATTGTACAGGATGGAAGAAATCTGAAAACAGGCAGGGACATTTGTATTGTACAGGATGGGACAAATCTGAAACAAGCAGGGACATTTGTATTGTACAGGATTGGACAAATCTGAAACAAGCAGGGACATTTGTATTGTACAGGATGGAAGAAATCTGAAAACAGGCAGGGACATTTGTATTGTACAGGATGGAAGAAATCTGGGACAAATCTGAAAATTTCATAATAAGACCTTAAACCTAACCAAAACTTTTTGTTTACCTCGCAGTACAACCATAGCCCAAAACTTTCCCTACCTCGTAGTATGACCCTAACCCAAAAGTTTTGCCTACATCGTAACACGACTTTAACCTAAACCTTTTGCCTACCTCGTAATACGACCCTAACCTAAAACTCTCCCTTCCTCGTAGTACGACAGAAACCCAAACCTTTTGAATACCTCGTTATACGACCCTAACCCAAACCTTTTCCCTACCTCGTAATACGACCCTAACCCAAAACTCTCCCTACCTCGTAGTACGACCCTAACCCAAAACTTTTCCCTACCTCGTAATACGACCTCAACCCAAAACTCTCCCTACCTCGTAGTACGACAGAATCCCCGACTCCTTAGTAAAAGCTCCCATTTTCCCAGCTCCGACAGCCGGAGCGTGCAAGCCGTGGTGTGAGGCGTTGGCCAAGGTGTAGCTCATGCCGTAGGTCGGCACCCCCACGATCAGCCGCTCCTTGGGCAGGCCCGTCCCCAGCCAGAAGTTGATCGACCACTCCTGGTGTAGGGGGAAAAAATAAGACGGTGAGTAGGGGAGGTAATGATAAAATTAGTTAAGTAAGATTTTTTTTTAAATGTGTACAAAAAAGCTCCATATTATTTACGTTCCTAAAATGATATGTACCTATACATATAAAATATTGAATTCATTAAACTCTGTATATACTTGGAGCTGCATTTCTTGTGTTTTAATATTTTTTTTAAATATGAGAAGCTTTTTTGTGGTTGATGAAAATACCATAATCCTTATGACTACGGGGAAATAATCAAAGTTTTTATAAAGAAAACAAGACTCCATGATATAATGGACACGAAAAGTATCAATACACGGGGTGTTAGTCGATTTTCACTAAGGGGAAGTAAGCCCGTGTGACCAAAGGGAAGTAAACCAACCTGGTATAGCTGGGACTTCTCGCCCGTTTTGGGGTCATCTCGGTGGGGGTACAGTCCACTGTGGTGACCTGTGACCTTCTCCCACTGACCGTGGTAGTTGTAGGTCATCAGCAGCATGAAGTCGATGTAGCTGGTTTAAAAATAGATTCAGTCAATTAATTGGTTGTTAAAATAATCAATCGGATAAATAGAAAAATATATCTAGAACATGAAATTCACCAAACCAATGAAGATTATATAACGTAATTACAAAATTACTAATTTAACTTAAAAACACTGATGGCAAAAGATGATCCAGTAATTCATTAATTAATGTGTTTGCTTTAAGGCCAAATATTGTAGAGGTCCAGCAATAACCAATGGCTAATTAACCCGAAAACAAGAAACCCCCCCCCCCCTTTTTTTTTTGACGTATGTTATTTATTGTAACATTGGACAGGATTTTCCCCGACACAAAAGTATTGTGTCAACTTGTTATGCGCAGTAAGGGCTGAGGACTCCGATTTCAGCCTGCTTTTCTTTTTAACTTTCCCTGTTATTGTTACTTAATCACTATACCATCAAGGTCCAACAACTCACTGTATAATCTTGTAAGTTATCGTTACTTAATCACTATACCATCAAGGTCTGACAAATCACTGTATAATCTTGTAAGTTATCGTTACTTAATCTCTCTACCATCAAGGTCTGACAAATCACTGTATAATCGTGTAAGTTATCGTTACTTAATCTCTATACCATCAAGGTCTGACAACTCACTGTATAATCTTGTAAGGCTCGTAACTCTGCTCTATATAATACGTTCCGGATGCCGTTGCTATGGTCAACAAAAGTTTTTCTTTTCCCGTTTCTTTGGCGTCCTTCTTAAAAGCTTCGTAAAGTCCCTAAAGTGTGAAGACAGTAGACAATAATAAGCCCAAATTCCCGCTGCAGTTGTTAGTCTTACACAATTAAGGTAATTTTTTTAGATTAAGTTTAAAAAAAAAATTATTAAGAATTATTAAAATTAATTATTTAATTAAAAATGTAAAAAAAATATATTTAATTAACATGTAACAATGAGGAACTTCTCAAACTAGCAAAAGGCGGGTGAGTTCTCAATAGTTCCATTTGATGTTTTGTTAACTAGTGGGGGAATAAGGGTGGTACATCTCTCACCTTCAGCAGAAGTGTGAACTTTTGTTTATCGTCTGCTGGGCTCCCTCTAGTGGCGGGAAACTGCCAGTCGATGTCAATACCGTCAAACCCGTGGCTGAACAAGGACAGGAGTAATTAAGTTAATTAGTTGATTAAAGGCTAATCACAGGAAAGGAATAATTAAGTTAATTAGTTGATTAAAGGCTTAACAGGACATGAATAATTAAGTTAATTAGTTGATTAAAGGCTAATCACGGACAGGAAGATAAAATTTAATTAGTTAACACATAACATTTTTCACCAGTTAACACACATAACATTTATCTTATATAACACCTGAATGAGTAGGGATTCGATCCCCCGACCTTTGCCCGAACTCACCTTCTCAAATACCTGACGACGTTTTTGACCCACGTGTCACGTGTCGTCTCGTCCTTGACCAGCGGCACGAAAGGTTTGGAGCCGATCTGCCATCCCCCCACGGCCAGCAGCACCTTGAGGGTCGGGTTTTTTTCTTTGAGGGCCAGGGTCCGGGCGTATAGACCTACATAGGGGGGGGGGGGGAAGGTTAAATCATTGGTTTATTCAAAAACGCTAATTATTATATAAAAGACCTTTTTTAAAGAATTAGATCGTTGCAGAAACAAAATTGGTTCACGGTGATTAGTGTATAAAATATCTATTTTTATGAAATATCTATTTGTATGAAATATCTATTTGTATGAAATATCTATTTGTATGAAATATCTATTTGTATGAAATATCTATTTGTATAAAATATCTATTTGTATGAAATATCTATTTGTATGAAATATCTATTTGTATGAAATATCTGTTTGTATGAAATATCTATTTGTATGAAATATCTGTTTGTATGAAATATCTATTTGTATAAAATATCTATTTGTATGAAATATCTGTTTGTATGAAATATCTATTTGTATGAAATATCTGTTTGTTAACAGGCAAGGGAGAGAAGAGTTGGTTTTTGTGTCATCAGTACAGTTTCTAGGTAGGCCCTATCCCTTCGATTTCTTGTTTTGTTTTGAACAACTAGATCTATGGAGCTTGGAAGCCTGGCGAGTTTTTGTAAAGCCTTTAATTCGACACACATAGGAAGGACATGCAGGGGCGGAACTACAGTGCCGCCAGACCCCGCATTGCGGGGGGGGGGGGCCGGGACGTTTAGGGGCCCGCAGCCGACCATAATCAATTTTTTTACAGTTAAAAAAAATAATCTTCTTTCATTTTTGACTTCATGGTTGTTTTGTAAAAAGAATACTGCAGCTGCGGTTGGATTATCTTTATTCTATAGACACCATCTCAAGTCCTCTTTCTCCTACAATCAACACACGCTGTTGTCGGCAAAATTCTTTTGAAAATAAACCAATTGCGTGAAAGATACGCAATTGTTCAAACCACTTCCATGACTTATTTCCCTTTTTTAACTAGTCAAATATGTGTGCTCTTAAGCGCCTTTTAATAAATTTGCACTAAACAAATTAAAAAGCAATTACTTCTCTTAATTATTATTTTTAAAAAATGCATAATAAAGAATAACAAAGTATAATAAGGAAACGCATTTAAAACTAATAATATTATAAGAAAAAAACATTAAAATAAACATAAGGCGAGAAACCATTACACATACACAGCTTTCATGCTTTATATTATTTCGACCGACTAACTATTTACGGCATCTAAGTAAACATGTTATAACAGAGATTTTCAAAACAGACTAATAGCAATCACGCAAATGACCTGTTGTAACTTGTATTACTTATTAGTTAAAACTAAGTATTTTAGTGATTTTTTAAAAATTTCGAACAAGCCCGAAATGAGTATATATATATATATATATATATATATATATATATATATATATATATATATATATATATATATATATATATATATATATATATATATATATATATATATATATATATATTTGCGGGGTGGCCCTTTTTTTCTAGTTCCGCCACTGAGGACATGGTGTGGGATGTGTCTAGGGGTATGAACGATTACTCGTTAATGTGTTTGTATTATATGTGTTATACCAGTGTCCGATAATTCAACAATAATAATGGAATCTTCTTAAAAAGAGTGTTAAGTTACTGGTAGTTAACCATTACATACAAGCATGACTTGTTATATTATTTTTTTACCTTTTGGTCCCTGGTCGTTCCTGTTGAATGGTCGTAAGCCACGCCCATCGGATGTGACGTCAACAAAAGCGAAGATCACGTGGGTACAGAGGTGGGGGTTGATGTTCTCGGGGACAAACTTGCCCAGGCCGTGACGTGTCTGCGAGAAGCTGCTGTAGTAGCAGAAGATGTTCTTACCTGGGGAGGGAACCAACATGTTCTTACCTGGGGAGGGAACCAACCTATTATAACTATTCGAAAGATCAAATACGCTTCAACTGGGAGTTTAAGATGCAATTTGATTAAGCGTTTAATTAAGCCTTAGCTCATGAATTGACTTGACTTATCTTCAGCTTATTGTTAGACCTGGATGTATGTAAAGATATATTTACTTATGGCTTAAATCTACTTAATAAATTAAAATACGTAGCTAAAAAACCCGTGAGGAATCGCGAAAACTGACAAGTAGGAACGAATTGTACAACTAAGACAGCACAAAGTTTTCAACTTACCAACTGCTTGTGTCAGAGACTGAAGCATCAAGGCTAGCATCAGCAGAATCCGCTTCGTCTCCATTTCTAGAACTTGTCACAAAATGCCGCCAGAATGTCACTAAGATATCACAAATCTCACCAAAATAAGACGCGTCACCAAAATACCAAGAGTCACCAAAATATCACCAAAATCGACCAAAGCCACCAAATTAGAACTCAAAAGTTCAAAACACTGGAAACTGCTGGATCAATAGTTGTTTGCTATGGTGATGATGTTGCGCTTAACTCTGATGATGTCGTACATTTGGTGCTGCTGTAGTTAGGTGACAAACCTGATGATGTTGTACAGTTGGTGCTGTGTTACTCTGAAACTACTTCAGCTAACACAAACGACAACTTTCTCCGGAAATTGCCGGCTCCACCTGACGAAAACAGCCGGTTGGCCGGGCGTTTTATAACCTCTGATGTCAGTCACGTGATTGAAGCCGTGCCAACCCTGGGGTCAACGCCCTCACCACGCCCAGCTCCCACAGACCCCGCCAAAACAGCAGACGATCGAGTTATTTTTGGCTAAGCCCGGCGGTCAAGGATGTTTATTTTTAGCTCTGTTGGTCAGCAACTTATTTTTTTGTTAGTAATTAGAGTACACAATCAATGACCAGATTTTTGTTAATTTTCTCAACAAATCTGTTTTTTCGTGACTTCTTAGTCTAACTAATTCAGCTAAGATTTAATGAACTCCTGCAAGTTTTAAGCGAGGCAATTCGTTACAAAAATATATTAGCGATCCAATATTCCATTAAACGTATCACAAAATCCAAATGATTAGGCCCTCTTTATCACGTAGCAACAATTTTTCAGGATGTAGCTATTGGCTAGGTAGCTTCTTGCTAGATTTGGTTGGCTTTTGCTTGTGTCTACTTCAGTATATGATAATACGTTTGCAAAATGTGAACTCAATTTTTCCAGTTCAAAGTAAGCAGAGACGTATCAGACAGCGATACCTAGACACTTGTCTATGAGACACTTAGACACTAGTCTATGAGAAACTTAGACACTTGTCTATGAGACACGTAGACACTAGTCTATGGAGCTGCTAAAGACGATCCCCGAAACACAATGAACCCACACCACAACCCAACAGCTTTTATACCTGGCATCAACGTCCAGGTCCATCCCAGCATTCTTTAAAAAAAGAATTCCCCAATGTCACCGTCTGTCTCGATGGCCGTTTAGAGATGTGGTTTAATGTCGGAGAGTTTAGCACCTGCTTGAGAAGGCTGAAATTCTTCGCGGACCTCCGAGTAGTCGCGGTGTGTGAAGTCGTGTCTTGGTTGAACTTGGCCGAGTAAAATAAAGGAATCGTAGCTCGATTCAGCGATTTGCCTGTGTATACAGCCTAACTTTAATCGAGTTTGGCAACATTTTTATAGCTAGCTTGACCAGAAAGATATAATTGGTGCGGGCTGGTTGTTTTAAGGATTGATTGCATTTCCTGTTGCTGGTTATAGAGGCGTTAATTATAGGGCGTAACGCGTGGCAATGGTTAAAAATTGACAGTTTAAAATTAGTGCAACTGATGGCGTGGGGGTAGGCGAGTGGGGGAAGGTGAATTTTACTGAAAATATATTTTTTTTATTACATGTCAACAAAACGGCCAGGTATAAACACGCTGATCAACTTCTTTAAAAAAAAAACACCAAACAAAAAGCAATGTTTTAAAAATTGTGGCCTACATTAAATTATGTCTTCACCTGTCTTCATTATATATATAAATAATTCGCCTAGGCAAACACAAAGCACTAATTCCAATCTTTTGTCGTGCGCTCTTTTGACGGGGCCAGACAAAATGTATGAGCTACGTCTGTAGGTGGTTTTGACCCCAGCGGAGAAAGATATCAGATAAAGGAAATGGGGGTGGATCAGAGGCGTAGCGACCCTTCCCGTCGCCCGGGGACAAACTTTCAATTTGGCGTCCCCCCCCCATATATTTTTTTATATTTATAATGCAAAAATTGCAGCTAAAATGAGCTTTTAATTTTTTTTACAAACCCACTTTGGCGCCCCCTAGGGTCGGCGCCCGGGGACATATGTAACCCCTCTCCCCCCCCCCCCCCCCGCTACGCCTCTAGGGTGGATACCGCACACTCCCAGAAAGACAAGGCATAACATAACAAGACCTGCAGGGACAGAGCAAAAGATGGGGGGGGGGGGAATTAAAAAAACCTAAGAAGGTAGAAGGTTTTCTAGGGTAAAGGTTAGGTTTTCAATTTTCATACTTGATTTTTTAAAAGTAGCTTCGCCTCGGTGCCATGCTGCTCATGTCAAAAGATGAACGAAGAAGAAGAATCAGCCTGACCCAGTCAGATGTTGAAGATAGAAATTATTGTCTCACAATGTAATTAATTGTTATAGCTAATAACCCGAGCCGTTAATTAAAGCTGCATGTTAATTTCACGTTACGCGGAGTATACGTTTGTCGTCAGATCTTATTTGACTTTCAAGCATCTCTTCCAAAGCAGAAATTTAAAAAAAAATATGTTAAGAATATACACTTTACCCAGCCCCCCCCCCCCCATCTATCCGAAAATATTGATATTTAAAGTGACCCCCCCCCCTCCCACCCAGAAATTTTAAGAAACATTGCTAATGTTTACATGAGGTCTACATTTAAAATGAAATGATAATATTTAACACATATTTGAGATTTCTATTTCAAGAATGGCCAAGAGAGTTATTTTTGCGGACTGAAAGGATATTTGTTTTGGCCGATGACTGTACATCCGATGGATGACCTTGACTTAGCCGCAAATCATCAACTCGTGACTGACATGCGCACTGGCCAGCAATCAACAACAGCACAAAGCTCCCGATAAACAGGGGAGTTAACTCTGCCCAAGGGAGACAATTATAGCCTGCCCTTGGTGGATGGTGGGGACAGGATGAGTCTAGTGACAAAAAAAAAGAATCTTTGTGTTGTCGTTTCTAAGCTCTGCCACAAGGAGGGGGGGGGGGTAATCTAGACTTAAACTGAACATTTCTGAGTCCCACGCAGACTTCTGTGTGGTATTGGGATATTTCGGGTAGGAAAAATTTGGTGTAACGTTGTTTACGTTGTAAGGATTTCGGTCGGTCCTAGACTTTAGTTGCGTTCATTTCAGTAGGACTTAGGACTTGCATGACGTTTATCTATGTAGGACATAGGACCTATAAAGTGTCATCTTTGTAGGACTTAGGACTTGCTTACATAAAATGTCCGGGGGCGGACGGAGCTGTCAGGGTTCAAGTATAATAGCCTGAAAGAAACCCTGGCCTTTAGAAATACGGATGCCCGATAAAAACATTTGAAGTTGTCGTTTATTAAATGAATATTTTGGTACAGACAAGCATTGTGATGATTGTACAAACATTGGCTTTAAAACCAGCAAGTTTCTTTCATTAGCTTGTATATTGGTGTTAAATATGTTCGTATAGTCTAGTCCAGGGGTCTCCAAACTACGGCCCGCGGGCCGGATGCGGCCCGCGAGGTCCTCTCATCCGGCCCGCGGAGATGTTTTTGTTCACGGAAAAAAATGTTTGTTAGAAGTGGCTGAGAAACTTTGCCCAGAAAATACAAAACAATTTGAAAATGTAGCTTTGGGTGCAAATACCATTGCCCTCTGCGTTGCAGACATTGATAAAAACATTGTGACTCAAATATTGAAAACTGTTTACAAGTTTTGCAATTTTTCAATTGCAATGGATGAGTCGCTGGATAGCATGTTTTTGGAACAAGTACAGGGCAACAACTTGACGCACTTTCAGCAGTGCAAGGTATTCATGACTGAAGCAATAGCTGAGTTCCTTATACCATTTGCATGCGAGATCATCAAAGACCTCCAGCTGCAGTTTCAGTAGCGGTTTTCTGACTAGGATTCAAAGGCAGAAGAAGTGAGACTGTTTCAAAACCCAATTGAAGCAAATGTAACCAGTTGCCCAGATGAACTGCAGATGGAGGTCACTGAATTGCAAGCAAATGACTTCCTTAAAGACAAGTTCAAAAAATGGCGGGTGGGTTTTTGTGTTTGCCCAAGGAGAACAAACTTGGACCTAGAGTGTGTTGTCGGCCCCCCACCAGTGTTTCTTTCAGACTTGTTCTCCTGGGGGTGCATGTATATATTTCTATATAAAGTATAATATTATAATTCGTTGGGGGGGGGGGGGCACGGGGACACCGCCACCCCAAAGAGACTCTGGCCCCCGAACTGATATTTGATAGTTAATGCGGCCCTCGGGCTGAAAAGTTTGGAGACCCCTGGTCTAGTCTAATACTCAACAAACATCATGAAATAAACAGAGCAGTTTGTTGTAGACTTTGGTTTGTACACACGGTATGAGTCAAGATGATCAAGATGTGTCCGGTTTGTGTGTGTGTGTGTGTGTCTGTGTGTGTCTGTGTGTGTCAAGTTATGAGTGTCAAAGTTTACCTGTCCATCTTTCTGGTTTTCTGACGTCACGTTATCACGTGATGTAGACATTCAACACAAGCTCTGAGAAATTGAAATTTAAAACGTCGAGTATTGGACCGTTGGACTATTGGACCATTGTACCGTCAGAACGTTGTAACATTGTAATGTTGTATGGCATGCAAGCCGTCAACGTGATGACCGTCTCTGAACGTTCATGTTTGAAGAGCGGCGATTCCAGACCAAATTTTGACAAGTTGAAGGTCAAGTCGACAGTCAAGGCCGGTGATGGAGTCAACACGGAAGGAGAATTCTCCGACCTGAAATGAAAAACTTGAGAAGTCTCGCGAGAACGTGAGACGGAGGAAACACATCAGCATAGCATCTTGACGTTGCTCGCATGATTGGTGTCTTTTATGTGTTTTATGTGTGCTTAATGTGTGTTTTGTGCGTTTTTCAGCGTGTTTTTCTGTGTGTTTTCTGTTGTTTTCTGTGAGTTTTCTGTGTGTGTTGTGTGCGTGATTGTGTGTGTTGTGTGTGTGATTGTATGTGAGTGTTAACGTGTGTGAGTTAATGTGTGTGTTATGTGTTTATATGTTTGTGTATGTATGTGTTTGTATGTGTATTTATGTGTGTCTGTGTTTATGTGTGTGTGTGTTTATGTATGTATGTGTTTGAATGCGAGTTTGTGTGATTCAAAACATCCTGATGTGCACATACTATGTGTGATTTATGTGAATGTGTATTTATTTGTGTGTTTACATGTATGTGTGCTTGTGCGTTTTCGATTTAAATTCATTGTTGTGAACATGATTCTCATTGATATAAAAAAAAACATGGCGTATATTTGTTTTAAAGTCTCATTTCAGATTTTAAGATACCAAGAGCACCCAAAATACATCAATTATATATATTTTTTTACTAATAATAGAATCTAATTAAATACCGATATGCCTAGCATCAGGGGCGTAGCGAGGGGGGGGGGGGGGTGCGGACCGCACCGGGTGACACCATTTAGGGGGGTGACACCAAGGCAAAAAATAGCAAAATATATAGAGAAAAACTCGAGGGGGGGGGGGTGCAAATCGAAAGTTTGAGGGGGGGGGGTGCAAATGGAAAACTTGAGGGGGAGGGGGGTGCAAATCAAAAGTTTGAGGGGGGGGGTGCAAATGGAAAACTTGAGGGGGGGGTGTGCAAATCGAAAATTTGAAAGTTTGTCCCTGGGAAGGTTCTCTATGCCTCTGGGGGGGGGGGGGGGTTACACCATTAAGTGCCGCACCGGATGACACCCGACCTCGCTACGCCACTGCCTAGCATATTAATATTATATCAATATTGTAACTATGCTTAGGATAACTAATTGCGGATTCGAATAAATAATAACAAACTTTTAGAAAACAAAAACCACAGTTTAAAGTAGGCTTTGTTTTTCTTTAAGCTAGCATACATCATTGTTTACAATTTTAAATAACTTAAAATTAACTATTGCGGAAGTAACTTTTCTATTTATTTATTTTTTAAGGAGTTAATAAAAAATATTAATATTTGGTTTGAAATATACTTTTTGGCAAGTACCAGAACGAGAAGTTGGTGACCTACTTACAAGCCCTGCGTCATGAAGCTTTGCCATTGAGTGACTTTCTTCAGGACTAATTTAAAGTTAGGCTAAGGGATATAACCCATGAATATTTAAATTTCGGCAGTAAGTTGTGTGTTACGTCCCTTATATTTATAACCCTTTTAAAAAAGTTAAATCACTTCACAGGTAGCCAGTTAATTCTCATAACAACTTGCCATGTAGTTCTTATAACAATATGCCAGATAGTCCTTATAATAGTTTTTTTTTCGCAAAGAAATTTAACATTTCCAATAACTAACATGCCCTTTGTTTAACCAACCTAAAAAACAAGATTTAAAGATTTATCAACAACACCCTTAGAAATTATCTCCACCCCTGATTACAGAAACTAACGTAGCCCCCCCCCCCTACATTCACACATTGAAGTAAGCATGATATGCAACTACCCATTGCTCTACTGCTGTGAAACCCCTTCAACCTCCTGATATAAAGCCAAGACCTTGCTCTGAGGTTTAAAATTAAAATGATTATAAAAAGACGATCGCAAAGTTTGTGAAACAAACATAAGCGAGGACCCACCCGCACCAGGCGACTGGCCTGTCTCAGTTGTCTGGGTATGCAAGGGCGGGGGGGGGGGGGGGGGGGGAAGAGGGGCGGGGGTCGAGCCCGAGTTCCGAACGCGCGACTTTCGGGTTAGCTCTCTATCACCGTACCACGCCGTTAGCGTAAGTCTTTGCCAAGGAACTCTTCGATTATTTTACTGTGAGCACACGCTCCTTTTCATGAAATACATTGTACAGACAATTTAATTAATTTGTGTGTGTGTGTGGGGGGGGGGGTGTTTGTGTGAGGTATGTGTGTTTTAATCAATTTGCGTGTGTTTGTGATGTTTGTGGGTTGTGTGTTTGTGTTTGGAATGTTTGTGTTTGTGTGGGTTCTGTATTTGTGTGTAGGATGTATGTATTTAGAATATTATTTACCACCCTTTACACAGTATCAATCTAGTGTGTTTAGGATATCATTTACCAACTTTTAAAAAAACTTGAGATTCATTAGAACCAAAAAATTAATTTGACTTTTATGAAGTAGGTTAAAAATAACACCAGAAACGGCAATAGTTTTTTTTTTTACATCTTGGAGTCTAAGGTAATTTCAATTCAAGCGTCATTTTGATTTGTTCAAGACATCTGCAAGTCAAAAAGTTGGAAACATTTTTGGCGGGAGACAAGGTCGTCTGTTCACTGGTCGTCTGCTAGTCGGGGTGACCTTGAGGTATGGAAATGCTGACCTAGTCTGTTGTTTTAGAGTTATCTAACTTTGATCAGGGCAGGAGTTATCCGGTCTCCCGGAGTCGTTATTTGCGCGCCAAGACAATCGTCTGTTTGTTGATCGGCTGCTTAAATTTGTCCGCTTGCTTGCAGGGTGTAGGGGAGGAGGGGGAGGGGGAGGGGGGGGGGTGACACCAACAACCAGGCAGATGGTCCGCGACTGTCCAGTGTCTAAGGCGGACAGAACGTGACGTCACTTTCTGTTTGCTCAACCGGAACTCGATAAACCGGTTGACCGGCGCCCAGATTCCACGAACCGGCTTTCTCCTCTAGCCCAAACACGGGCCGTCACCACGTGACTTCCGGCTGACATTGAATGCCGGACTCCGAAATTCTGAAAGCCGGCATGAAAATACGGGCCATATAAAAGCCGGTCGGTGTGTTGACAAATCAAATCCAAGCCGTCGCCGGCAATATTCGGCGTGAGAATTGGATTTGATTGGATGAAGTTTCTTGGATTCCAGAACTTTCGCTCCGTGACCCAAGGAAGTCATTAAATCATAATCGTGACACAGCTGATTCTGTACACAGTTTGTACCGGTACAAGATTAACGCCGTACCCGGGATATTAGTGTACCGTCAGTACACTCAGTGTACCAGAAGTTTAGCTGTACCAGAAGTGTAGTTGTACCAGAACTATAGCTGTACCAACGGAACTGCTTTGATATTCTGCTGAGATATTACTCAATTAATTCAGAAACAGTTTCTATTTCTGTCTAACCAGTTTTCTAAAACAAGTCGCAGTTTTAAAACAATGAAGAGTTACATTTGGCTTACCATCACAGGCTTGTGCGCATGTCTGCTTCGTGACGTCATAGGTAAGTAGTTTTAATGAAGCCACTAATTCAAACAAGCACTCCATTAATCTAAAGTTACAAAAACACCTTTTACTCGATATAGGAAGAAAAGCAAAAACACAAAGAAATGAACACCCAAAACCAATCAATCAAAACTTGATTTATCTTCTCATAAGTTTATTGATTATTTATTCCTAGTAAACCAGTATTTAATAAACTTTTAAAATAAACAAGTGTAAACTTTGATAGTTGTGAATGTGTGATGGTACGATAAAGTGCTGTAGGACGAAGATTATACGAACCAACTACGAAGCTCGTACGAATCGTGTTTGCATACACCGGAAACTTTAACAATAGATTTGATCAAGGTGATGAACAAAACATCCACCAGAGCACTATAGCACTAAACATACTGTAGCTAGACTTATCAATGGGGATAACATTAACATCACTGACTCCACCCACCACAACATCACTGACTCCACCCACCATAACATCACTGACTCCACCCACCTGTAAACACCTGACTCCACCCAATTATCTATCACTGAATTCATCCACCTGTAAACACCTGGCTCCACCCACCTGTCCATCACTGACTCCACCCACCTGTAAACACCTGACTCCACCCACCTGTAAACACCTGACTCCACCCACCTGTAAACACCTGACTCCACCTACCTGTCAACACCTGACTCCACCCATCTGTAAGCACTGACTCCTCCTACCCCCAGCCACCAAGGTGTTCTGCTACTACAGCAGCTTCGCCCAGACCCGCCAGGGGTCGGGCAACTACCTGCCGGAGCACATCGACCCCCACCTCTGCACCCACATCATCTACGCCTTCGTCGACATCAGCCCAGACGGCAGTGACCTGGTACCCTTTAACAGAAATGATCAGGGCGACAATGGTTTGTAACAACACATTTTTTTCCATCTCAGCTGTAACACTATCCATGTATCTCAAGCTGAACTAGATATTTGTTACATGTATTGTTATAAAGCTATTATGTGTATTGTTATGAAGCTGTTGCATGTATTGTTATGAAGCTGTTACATGCATTGTTATAAAGCTATTACATGTATTGATATAAAGTCGTTACATGTATTGATATAAAGTCGTTACATGTATTGTTATAAAGATGTTACATGTATTGATATAAAGATGTTACATGTATTGTTATAAAGTTGTTACATGTATTGTTATACAGCTGTTACATGTATTTTTATAAAGTTGTTACATGTATTGTTATAAAGTTGTTACATGTATTGATATAAAGATGTTACATGTATTGTTATAAAGTTGTTACATGTATTTTTATAAAGTTGTTACATGTATTGTTATAAAGTTGTTACATGTATTGATATAAAGATGTTACATGTATTGATATAAAGTTGTTACATGTATTGATATAAAGTTGTTACATGTATTGATATAAAGTTGTTACATGTATTGATATAAAGATGTTACATGTATTGATATAAAGTTGTTACATGTATTGATATAAAATTGTTACATGTATTGATATAAAGTTGTTACATGTATTGTTATGAAGCTGTGACATGTATTGATATAAAGTTGTTACATGTATTGTTATGAAGCTGTGGCATGTGTTGTAATGGTACAATTCAGTTTTGCAATACACAGTAGGCTATTCAAATACAGTAACTCGAATAACGATACCGATCTATAACGCTAACCGTACCTTTAAATGAAGCTCTACTGCTAAAAATTACATCATCGTTATATGACGCACAATTGATTCGTTTGTTGGCCATCGTAGTTTTAAAATTATATTTTTTATTCTTTCAAACAAACTACTTTAGTTTCATGGCGTCACTCGGGAGGTGGGGGGGGGGGGGTGTGGCATGAACTGAGGCTGGGGGAAATATGTCTGGTGTCGTTATACTTTTTGACCATTTACCTAGTGTCGGTATTCTTGATGACGTCATACCTGATGAGGTCATACCTGGTGACACACCAGCATCACGACGCACGCTGACCTGAAGTACTCACGTGCAGCAGACGTGACCTCTGACCTCTCCACCCCACAGGTCTGTACGCCAGGACTCTGGCACTGAAGGAAAAGAACCCGGATCTGAAGGTCCTACTGGCTGTAGGGGGGTGGCAGATCGGCTCCAAACCTTTCATCCCCATGATCAAAGATGAGTACACCCGGAGTGTGTGGATCCAGAACGTCATCCGTTACTTGAGGAGGTGAGTGGGGGTGGGGAGATGGAGGTGGGGGGGGGAGGTTGAAGTGTGGTGGGGGGCTGTGGGGATGTGGGGTTGGGTCTGGCTGTGGGGCACTGTGATATCATGTTAGTTATATCATGATATTGCTCATGAAGAAGCCACTGCTTTCTGGTAAGTTAATTTTGTCAACTCTCTGGTTCAAATATCTGTTAACTGTACGTTTCCTTGATGAAAGAAGAAGGCAGGTTTTTAACAGTGTAAACTATTTCTGTTGGGCTAATCCACGAGGTTTTTCTCCCCAGACATGGTTTTGATGGCTTTGACATGGACTGGGAATTCCCCGCCACCAGAGGGAGCCCTCCCGAGGATAAATATAGATTTACTTTGCTTATGAAGGTAGGTTGTGGAAAAGTATAAGATGTGTGTTATCTGTGACAGGGTCTGTTTGCTATCTGTGACAGGGTCTGTATATTGTGTTATCTGTGACAGGCTATGTATAAAATCTGTTCTATCTGTGACAGGGCCTGTATAACATGTGTGCTATCTGTGACAGGGCCTGTATTTTGTGCTATCTGTGACAGGGCCTGTTTGCTATCTGTGACAGGGCCTGTATAAAATATTGTGCTCTCTGTGACAGGGTCTGTTTGCTATCTGTGACAGGGCCTGTATAAAATGTGTGCTCTCTGTGACAGGGCCTGTATAAAATGTGTGCTATCTGTGACAGGGCCTGTTTGCTATCTGTGACAGGGCCTGTATAAAATGTGTGCTATCTGTGACATCTGTTTGCTATCTTTGACAGGGCCTGTATAAAATGTGTGCTATCTGTGACATCTGTTTACTATCTGTGACAGGGCCTGTATAAAATGTGTGCTATCTGTGACATCTGTTTACTATCTGTGACAGGGGCTGTATAAAATATTGTGCTATCTGTGACAGGGCCTGTATAAAATGTGTGCTATCTGTGACAGGGCCTGTACGAGGCGTTCGCCCAAGAAGCGCGTGAGACGGGACGTGACAGGCTACTGCTCACCCTGGCCACAGCGTCCGGCACGTTCTACATAGACCAGAGCTACGAGCCTGACAAGATCATCAAGTCAGTGGTCCGACGGGTATCTCGGGGGGGTCAGTGGTCTTACGGGTATCCGGTGGGGGCTGTAACAACATGAATTCTTTGTTGTTGTGGGTTAGTTTTCACACAGGAATACAAGCAATAGTGGCAACTTCAAATGATGACTTTATTTACACTATATACAGTGAGAATGATAAATCCATGGTTATTCATGGTAAATCCATATTAGAAGATACTCAACAAGTACAGTCACAGTCACGACTCCAAGTCATGGAGACATCTTACATTCACTGCCACAGTTCAAGTCCCAAGTCCTAGCACACAACACCCGTTCACCTTTTGCTCTCCCTTTTATTCACAACTTTCTCTCCCCTTACGTACATGAGCGATCTCACCCAAAAACATGAAAAAACACATGACGATCGCTCAGACAGTCCTTCCGCTAGCCAGGTACTCTTCATTCATGCAAAACACAATATAATAAAGATACATAATAATACAGTCTGTGACACGTCCCCCCTTCGAATAAAATTTTGTGTAACAAAATTTATAAATACAATATTAGTAGGGCAGGATCATGTGCCAGACAACAAAATTTATAAATACAGTATTGGTAGGGCAGGATCATGTGCCAGACAACAAAAAATTGTGTACAATTCAAAGTAGAGTAAAATATATTCATTTTAGACTAAGCACTTGTAGTCATAAATTTATAGTGCATACAAATACAACAGTATGTAGTGACTATATCAGTGATAATTAAAATATGTCAGTGTTTTGAACAGAAACTTTAAATGTACAAGCATTATATGTAATATTTAATGCATCAATATACATTCACATAGGAGAAAAAAAAAACATTTCAATTACCCAGTAACTGTAAAAAAACTACATCAGTTGGGATAAATAATATACCAAACTAATTTGGTACAGGACTTAATTCCAAAACATAAACATAGTTAAAATACTTAAAGACATGAATTAAATAATTATATCCTATGTAGTAAAACAACCTTATCATCAAGGCATGTTATTACTACACATAAGTAATATACCTTATTGTCTCCCCTAGTTGACCCATTTCAGACATCTAGGTCACAACACAATCACATTCCTGCCTTCCACAGGTAATGACTAATACACAATTCATCATTGAGACTTCCGTCTTATTGTTATGCCGAATAAATAGTCTCTAACTTTTACTTTATACATTATTCCCTGTTAATTAATAGTATAGAATAGGTTTAACATAATACAGTTTACATTCTTTAGATATAGTACACAATTTATGTTTACTCAAACACATTATTTGATATTTATATATTACAGTTACAGACTGTATAATATTAATAGACTGTCAATTGATAATTTATCTTAGCATCCTCTATAGCATGAGTAATCGTTCTCGTGCAGTTGACGATGACCTGTTTGCCATCTCTCCCTGAAATTATATGTGTAGCTTTTAGCTTTGCTACCATAATGATTTCCTATATTTCGTGTAACTTGTGTTACTTCATTTGTTTTAATATTCTCTTCTGGTTTCTGAACAACGTCAGTTGTTTTCTTACTTTGTGTAAGTTCGTTTGGTTCATCAACCAACTTAATATAAATATTATGGCATTGCTTTGGCCTCTCATAATACGTCTGTGTTCGGTATCTTTCATTAGAACTTGATACATTATTTCTTAAATTACTGTATTTCTCACATGACTTTCTTTGTACATAATTGTTTCTTCTCTGATTTGCCAACCTATGCCAACATTGATCTTGGTAATGACCTGTTTTCCCGCAGTAAAAACATCTAGATTTTGGCTTCTTATAAACATGGTGACTGTATTCATAGTTTGCTAAATTTCTTTTACTTTCATTCTGTGCATCAATGACATTGTAGTTTCTAGTTACTGTTTCATCTTTCTTAACTTGCTTGTGCTTCTTTATTGATTCTAATTCACACATAAATTTCTGTGTTAATTTCTCCATTTCTTTGTTAAATTTATTCTTGAGTTCTAGTATATCTTCTTTATAGTTTGACTCCAATTTTCGAAGTAAATCTTCAATAGGTACGTTCTCTTCATTGTGGCTTATTAAGTTCACTGATTCATTAATCATCATTAGTTTATCATGATTCCTGCCATTCTCCGATGGACTTATAAAATCATCACTGCCATTGACTGATGGGCTTATTAAATCATTTTGATTACTATTCTCTGATGGCCTTGTGATACAACTTTCAATAATATTCTCGTGTACCTGCGTTTGAGTCAATAAAGAGTCAATCTTAAAACATTCTAATGTATCTGTCACCTTTAAATCATTATTAAGTTCAACCTCTGTTTTTTCCTTGGGTTTCAATTCTTCCTGGACTATGTTACTCTGTTCTTCATTCCAAAGGTTGCCAATATTTACTTCTTCAAGTTCTGCTTTAAATTCTGTCTGTTCACTTTCTAATTTTGGTTCATTTGTGTCTGTTATAGCTTTCATTTCTAATAGTTCTTGTTTATATGCTAGTTCATGTAGGCCAACTTGTTTTTCAATAGTTTCAGCCCTTTTATCTGCTCTCTGTTTTCTGTTTCTTTTTTTTCTCTTTCCTTTTGATTGTACAGTCTCCTCTACTTTATCTACTTCTGAAATGTCTTCTTCTTTTTGCATGTCTGTAATAGCTCTTGATCTATTACACACTATTTCTATCTCATCATCTAATTCTCTCATTGCTTTTCCATGAGCTAGTCGGGGTCGTCCTGTTTCTTCGTCCCATGCTTCTAATGCTTTTTCTATGTCTCTGTCAAATCGAGTGTTTGCCCAGGCTATCTGCTTCTTCATCTTCTTAATGCCTTGCGCCCTCGCTAATGCTAGATATTCTTCAAAACATAACATTTTGATATATTTTCTATGACATAAAATATAAATTCATTAGTTGACAATAGATAAATGTTAATTAATTTACAATACCCTTTCTTGGTTTCTGGCTTGTTTTAGTTGATTACAGACATCTGGTAATCCAAGAAAAGTTCATAGTACATATATACGTCCAAAAATAGTTCACTTTGTTGATTCCAAAAAGTTAAAAAAAATTCAAAATAGTTCTAGTAGCCTGTTACATAGTAGAAATTTGTCCAGTTTTAGATAAGACATCTTTAGGAACAGTTTACAATTAATAAACTAGATCTGCTCATCCACAGTAGAAGAACTTGAACAGCTAATCCATATAGAAAAAACTTGAACAGCTAAATCCAAATAGAAAAAAAACACACATTTGTAGGTGTAACAGTATTCTGTTACAGCCGATATGTATCCGACATTGGTAAGACAATGTCGAAAATAATGTGATAATAATTATCACGTTGATTACTTGACTTGACTGTAGATAACTATTAATACTTTCATGTACTTGCTTGATATACCAGCGTTGTTCACTGGCAAACAGTGGAAGACCACTTCAAAAACGTTGAAAACTGCTTAAAATAATAATGTGACAATTCTTTGATCACTTGTGGTAACACTGTAACTTCGTTGAAGATTTCTGACTTCAATCTAATCCATCAATGTAACAACATCAGTGTAACAACTTGAGTATACGTCCACTTCAGCCAACAAAGTAACAAATGTTGACCATCTCTGACAATAATGTATCAGCTTCTTCAATCACCTGACTCCAATGTATCAACACGTCTGATAATAATGTAGAAACACTTCTTCAATTGCTTCTGATAATGTAACAGTAGTAGTAGACGCTCACAATGTAGCAACTGTTGTTGCCCCCACTTCTGACACCATATGTAACAACATGAATTCTTTGTTGTTGTGGGTTAGTTTTCACACAGGAATACAAGCAATAGTGGCAACTTCAAATGATGACTTTATTTACACTATATACAGTGAGAATGATAAATCCATGGTTATTCATGGTAAATCCATATTAGAAGATACTCAACAAGTACAGTCACAGTCACGACTCCAAGTCATGGAGACATCTTACATTCACTGCCACAGTTCAAGTCCCAAGTCCTAGCACACAACACCCGTTCACCTTTTGCTCTCCCTTTTATCCCGGTCCATTCTCTCCCCTTACGTCAATGAGCGATCTCACCCAAAAGCATGAAAAAACACATGACGATCGCTCAGACAGTCCTTCCGCTAGCCAGGTACTCTTCATTCATGCAAAACACAATATAATAAAGATACATAATAATACAGTCTGTGACAGGGGCATTTTAGGTCATTGTAGGGTTATTGTAGGGTTACTTTATGGTCATTTTGCATGATAAGTTTAGGGTCATTTTGCAAAGGGTGGGAATGGGGGTGGGGGTGGGATGGGGTAGTGGGGGGGGGGGGGGGATTGTGAACGTGAGCATGTCTGAAGATCTTGTAGACTGCGTGTGACGTTGGCTTGGTGTCGATACAATATAGACACACTGTTGACACAATATAGACACACTGTTGACACAATATAGACACACTGTTGACAAAATAAATACACAATGTTGACACAATATAGACACACTGTTGACAAAAATAAAGACACAATGTTGACACAATAAAGACACCATATTGACCCAGAGCTGTTCAAATAAAAACAAAACGCCTTTTTTTCAGCTACATCGATTACATGCTTCTGATGACCTACAACTACCACGGTCAGTGGGAGAAGGTCACAGGTCACCACAGTGGACTGTACCCCCACAAGAATGACCCCAAGTCAGGCGAGAAGGCCCAGCTGTATCAGGTAGGCTTTTTATGTGACCCCTATTATATATGACCCCTAAAATATATGACCCCTATAATTGACCCCTATAATATCTGACCCCTATAATTTATGACACCTATAATATATGACCCATATAATATATGACCCCTATAATATATGACCCCTACAATATATGACCCCTATAATATGTGACCCTATAATATATAACCCCTATAATATATGACCCCTATAACATGTGACCTGTATAATATATTACCCCTATAATATATGACCCCTATAATTTATTACCCCTATAATATATGACCCCTATAATATATGACCCCTATAATATATGACCCCTATAATATATGACCCCTATAATATATTACCCCTATAATATATTATCCCTATAATATATGACCCCTTTAATATAGGACCCCTAAAATATATGACCATATAATATATGACCCCTATAATATATGACCCCTATAATATATGACCCCTATATCACATTTCCCTTGTATAACAGAAGTTCTAATATCATTGTTTCCTATATAAAGATTATATAAAATATCCTTTATACCATGTCCCAGAAAAATCACCTATATTGTGTGTCCCTGATAGTATGTCCCCTATATAATTTGTCCCCTTTCTCAAAAGTCCCCTATATTATATATCCTCCATAACATATGTCCCATATATCAGATGTCCATTATTTCATAATTATGTTCCCTAAATCAATGTATACTCAACATCACATTTCTCCTATATAGTATATCCCCGATCCCATAAGACCCCTCATAGCGGGTAAGGGTAGCCGTGTGGTAGAGCGCTCGAATGCTAACCCGGGAGTATCGAGTTCGGATCTGAGACTTGTCTGTATAACGTCTCATGCTCTCACTGTGTCCCTCTCCAGGACTGGTCAATCGACTACTGGCTGGACATCGGCGTGTCCAGGGATAAACTCATTGTCGGCCTTCCCACCTACGCCATGACCTTCACCCTCGCTGACCCCTCGGATCACGGAGTTCACGCCCCTGTCATCGGTGGTGGGAAGATGGGAGACTACACCAAGGAGACCGGGATACTGGCGTACTATGAGGTAACTCTTTCTGTCTTGTCAGTCAATAAAATAAACTTGATTACTTCCCTTGCATTATGTTTGGTTGGGGTCTATGTTTAGTACTAGCTTATTAATAGGTAACTCTTTCAATCTTGTCATTCAAAAAAATTAAATTGATAACTTCCCTTGTATTATGTGGTGTGTGGTTAGGAGACTACACTAAGAATACTGGGATACTGGTGTAATGAGTGGTAACTCTTCCTGTCATGAATCAAAAAATAAATTTAATCGCTTCCCTTGAATTGTGATTACACAATTTGGATGTCCTAAAGTGTAACAATTACCACGAGCCGACCCGCGGCGTATCATACGCCACTATTTAGTTGTTTTATTTTCTACTTTTCATTGAATTCGACAGTACCAATGCTGCCACTGAAAATATTTGCTTTAAAATACTAACCCCCCTTTCCCCTAACCCCGACCCTACCCCCCCCCCCTCCCACCGTGAAAGCAGCCTCCTCTTAGTTACCTCCTGTAAGTTTAAAATCGTTTCAAACTAAATTATCTGCCCCTAATAGCCGTCACTAAACCCGACTTTACGATTTGTAAACATTTAGTTTGACTACAGCTCACCAGACCATTTGGGGGTAGGGTGGGGGTGGTAGCAATAGTTATAGAGGGGACTGTAAGGCGCGGTTGCAGCTTGTTTTCTAGTGTCTCCCAGAAGAGAATTATATATATAGATATTAATCAAAATTTGGGTTTCTAAAAAATATCCAATGTGTCTAGCTTTTAGATGAATGAGCTCATGTGTGTAACTTCTAACATCGGGTTTAATGTCATCATGTAAGTCCTATCATATTAGTTGAATGTCCTCATGTGTCCTACCATTGAGTTGAATGTCCTCATATGTCCTACCACTGAGCTAAATGTCCTGATTTAAGTCCTACCATCTTTCTCACATGTCCTACCGTTGTGCCGAATGTCCTCACATGTCCTACCGTTGTGCCGAATGTCCTCACATGTCCTACCATTGAGCTGAATGTCCTCACATGTCCTACCATTAAGTTGAATGTCCTGTTGTAAGTCCTACCATTGTCCTGAATGTCCTCACATGTCCTACCATAGTGCCGAATGTCCTCAGGTGTGCACGAAGCTAAAGTCCGGCGACTGGCAGTCCGAGTGGATCGATGACCAGATGGTGCCGTTTGCTTACGGCGGTGACCAGTGGGCGGGGTACGAGGACACGAACAGCATCGCCATAAAGGTCAGTTGTCCTCATGTCCTCATGTCCTTATCTCCTCACGTCCTTATGTCGTCATGTCCTCATGTCCTCATGTCCTCATGTCCTAGTGACCTCATATCCTCATGTCCTAGTGACCTCATGTCCTCATGTCCTAGTGTCCTCATGTCCTCATGTCCTCATGTCCTCATGTCCTCATGTCCTCATGTCCTCATGTCCTCATGTCCTCATGTCCTCATGTCCTAGTGTCCTCATGTCCTCATGTCCTCAGGTCCTCATGTCCTCATGTCCTAGTGTCCTCATGTCCTCATGCCCTAGTGTCCTCATGTCCTAATGTCCTAGTGTCCTCATGTCCTCATGTCATAGTGTCCTCATGTCCTCATGTCCTAGTGTCCTCATGTCCTAGTGTCCTCATGTCCTAGTGTCCTCATGTCCTCACGTCCTCATGTCCTAGTGTCCTCATGTCCTCATGTCCTCATGTCCTCATGTCCTCATGTCCTCATGCCCTCGTGTCTTCTCATCTCGTCTAGTTACCACTGTTTCGTATGTCTGCTGATAACTTCATTCAAGGCAATTTTTTAAATATGAACTCAGTTTTCGTTTTGCTAATTTTTCAACAATGTAGGCCTATATGCAATGAGTTAACAGATATTCTATTCTTTTTTTGGCCTATATGTGTGGAAAGAAGCATTGTGCTATTTAGCTAGTGCCCACGAAAACAAAATGTGATTGTTCGTCTTATAAAGTAACGTTAGCATTGTAAGCAAGCAGTATACCCACCCACGTGACTCTCCCCTGACCTTGACTTTCTATTGACCTTACCCACCAAAGTTCCATGACCTTGACCTCACCAACTTAATTTCCTTCTGACCTTGACTTTCTGTTGACCCCGTCCAATTTAACCCTGGCCTTGACCTCTCGATCCCCACCCACAGGCCAACAACATCCTGAAGCGGGGCCTGGCCGGCGCCTTCGTTTGGTCCCTGGAGATGGACGACTTCAGCGACTCGTGTGGGGAGGGGCGGTACCCGCTACTGACCACCATCAAGGACACCCTGGGCGGGGCAAAGGTGAGAACTATTTTTAGCTCGGTGGCGCCATTAGGGTCTATGTTTTTTTTAAATTTTGCTTCACCGTAAGAGATTTCATTTTACGACAATAAATGTTTTTTTTTATGTTTGTTAGTTGATTAAAAAATATTAACTATAATGTTGCCCTCTTCAAAGTTCTGACAATCTTTTTCTTTCTTTGACTAGTCGAAGCCTCTATCTGATTCTTCTCATATCCAACGGCCTCGTTCTGAATCGAGCCCGCCCTCTAGAAGCCGGAAAATGAAAGCCAAGTCCACCCACAGGTCATCATCACGTGACCCACTAGACCTGAAGCGCCACCTACAAAAGCACAAACAGGTGACCGAAGGTCAGACTGACATGCCCTCGACCTTGACCCCTGAAGTTGAGGTCACCACGAGACACGAGCGCCAGAACAGGTGGTGGACGAGCTGGAGGAAATCCGCGAGCCAGGGGCCGCCCCTGGCCAGAGCTGCAGCCAGGCATCAGCCAGACGGTGAAGCTAGAGCCGCAGCTAGACCCGCAGCTAGACCCCAGCCAGAAGTTGACGCAAACATCCCAGCTAGACCCGCCTCGAGATCAAAGAACAACTGGTGGCGTAAAGGGAACAGGCTGGTACAAAAAGGTACACTCAACCCACTGCCCAGAAAAAAGCGCACAGGGAAAAAGCGCTCGGGGAAAATTGCGCGTTCGGGGAGAAAGCGCACTTAGAAAATTGCGCAAAGGAAAATAATACGCAGCAAAAACCAAATCATCCTACTGAAAAAAAAATAGTATGGCAGCTATGTCTTAAACGATAAGTAAATAGTTTCTATAAATAAAAAAATCATAAACAACCTACTAGATTTAGAGTATTATTTTATCGTTGTTTGATGGTATTTAGACTACATTGTCGAGTCGCGCTTGTTAGTTTAATGTGAATCGAATTACCTCCCTTGTTGGTTTAATGTAGATATACTTACTCTCCCTTGTTGGTTTTGATATCATTTTTTTTCTCTAAGACGTTTTTCTAATAGTATGTTTACATTTCGTACGGTGGTATTTTTTTTTTAATTATGGTCTTTAAGTTTATTTTCCAAATCAAATAATCGCTTTAGATTCCATATTTAAAACCAACCAATCGCTTTAGATTCCATATTTAAAACCAACCAATCGCTTTAGATTCCATATTTAAAACCAACCAATCGCTTTAGATTCCATATTTAAAACCAACCAATCGCTTTAGATTCCATATTTAAAACCAACCAATCGCTTTAGATTCCATATTTAAAACCAACCAATCGCTTTAGATTCCTTATTTAAAACCAACCAATCAATTTAGTTTCCCCGACACCGGAAGTGACGCCAGAGATAACAGAAGACGAGGTGGTAACAGCGCCAGAGATCAAATGGTGGTTAAGTAGAATTGGTCCATCCAAAACCACCGTGACGTCATATCCGGACGAGAGCGACTACCCAGACGACCAGACGTTCTCTACGTCACCCGCGTGGACCAATCAAAGGTCAAGGACGGAGAAGTTTGTTGTTGATGGTATGTTGACGTCGTTGGTTTGTTTGCTTCGAGCACTTAATTATTTTTTCTTAAATACTTCACCTTGTTAGTGGTATTTCCTGTTGTTACAAATGTCTTTTATTCAAGGTTTTTCGTATAAAAAAAAGTTCGTACATTATAGCACAAAGTTAAGCTGATTGAGCTCACCTAAACAAAAAATAAACTGGTCAATTTATGTTCTTACAGGGAGTAAATATTAAACGAACTCGATGATTTTTACTAAAAGAGCAATTATTTTAAATCTACTTAAGGCATTAATTACCAAGAATTATGAACCTAAAATGTCATGCCAATCATCCATATTAAATAAAACAGCTTATTTAACATCGTCTACACTTTACTTATTTACAAAGAATCTCATCTTAACCCCCCCCCCCCACTCATACATCATTACATTTTAATTAACACTCCGAAAAGGCAGACCCTTACCCCCTTAACACCCTCCCCCCTACTCATAGATTGTCATTAAATTTTTACACCCCTAAGTATGCATCGCTTAACCCCCCCCCCCCCCCCCCCCAATTCATAGATTGTCGTTAAATTTTAACTCCTAAAATAGGCAGCCCCCTTACCCTTTTTAACCCCCCCCTCCTCACACATACACACACACATACACACACACATACACACACACAAACACACACACAAACACACACACATACACACACACACACAAACACACTTGTATCCTCCCAGATAGGGTCTAAGAAAAATCCTGTTAACATTTTAACAACTTTTTAACAATTTTACAACCTGTACTGTTAACATTTTTAAAACAATGATTTTGACAGCGAGGATCGGGGTCTGCCGTGAGTTCGGGGTCGGGACGTTCGCCGACCCCCTCTCTTGTGAGCAGTTCATCATCTGCATGTCGGGCAACTGGCTGGACATCCCCCCTCACGTGATGGCCTGCCCCGAGGGTACCAGGTTCGACTCCAGCCTCAAGATCTGCAACTACGCCTCCAACGTCTCGTGTGACGACTGAATGACGTCATGTCTCTACAAGCGCCATTGTGATCGTTACGACTGATATTAAAGTGTCAAAGTTCACGCTGAGCCGATGCTGAGTTAGATCACTTGTGTTTTTTAAATTTTATTTTTACGTTTAAGTTATTTGTATAAAAAAAAATTAATAATTAATTTTTGTTTGTTTTTATTAAGTTTTCCTCAAGACTTTCAAAAGTCAAAACTAACACATTGAAAACATACAACAGTTCATTTTCGGTTTAATTAAAATTGTGGAAAAAACAATGAGATAAATATTTTATAATACATTTTATTGAAACAAAATATATTTTATGAAATTTAAATAATTTAATAAACTTAATTATAAGATATAATTTAATAGCTTCTCATTGCTCGAGTAATATAGAATAGCATCCCCTTCTTCCTGTAATGAAGAATAAGTTCCCCTTGTTCATTACATCTTCATTAATTAACGGTGTCGATTTAATTTTCCCAAATCCTGACAAAGAATTCCTAAAATTTATGTCGAAAAATTCTATTACTGTATATTGTAAGATATTGTCAAGTTTCAAACTTTTAAATTAATTACGAAATATTTTATAAATTGACAACAGCATAAATACGTGCCTTAGTTAATTAATTGCTCCATTTAATTAGATTGATTAATAAATATCAGCTATAAATAAATTACCTGTAAATCTGTTGAATGTTTAGATGAAACTGCGCATGCGCTAAGATGTCTGATTAAAATATTTAAAATTATTGAAACTTCTCAGTTGTCGTTATTTAACATTCGTCTCGGCTTTTGTTTTTGTTAATGTCATATCAGGCATATCAGTCTGTCACTGTCACATGAATGTGTCATTGTCATGTTAGACTGTCACATCAACGTGTCATTGTCATATTCGTCTGTCACTGTCACATCACTGTGTCACTGTCACACTTGTTTACTTAGGGTTTGGTGTGGTTAAATTTTCAACGGTTTGATCTTAACACAATAAAAATGTGTTTTTTTTAAATCTTCTGGTGTGAATAAAAAAGGTTTTTAGATTAGTTGGTTTGCTGTTTATGTATGGTGTATTTTGACAACTTAGGTGAGGTGTTTGGTGATATTAAAAGACTAAAAAACGGTGCCACTTGGAGAAGTTTTTTACATGTGTAAGTTGAAACAAAGAGGAATCGTGTACAGACTAGATACCAACTTGGTAGAGGAAGGAGCGCTAGGGAGGGGTAATGTTGGAAACGTTTCCTTTAGATAGTTTTCTCCTGGAGTGGGGGGGGGGGGGGGCATTTGAAACGTTTGGGGAAGGGGGGAGGACATTTGAAACTTTGGGGTGGGGGGGGGGGGGGGGGGGAGAGAGAGAGACACTGGTGAATTATATTTCGTTAGAAGAGGGGGGGGGGGCTAGACGTGTTTCAGGAGGCGAAATCCCGGAAGAGATGCCTGAAAGAAACTTCGTAACGCCTGCTCAAACCAGGTGACCTAACTTGTGTGGGTAACATGTATATGTATGAGTGTGTGTGTGTGTGTGTGTGTGTGTGTGTGTGTAAATGTGGGGAGGGGGGCGATTAAAATAAGTACTTTACGATTTTAAACAAAATTTTAAAAACATTTTCTAACCTAACTAACTGAATAAAATATACATTTAAAAACAATTAAATTGATCATCAAAAGTCAAATTTAATTTTAATAATTTACAGCAGGAGTTATGTTCCTGTTGTAAAAAAAAAATATTTGGAATTATATACCAGTATACAGATAATATCTTAAGGCAAAGGAGGCCACTTGAATTTGATGTAACATTTTCTACACCTTATTTGTAGCTGCATGGATACACATTCAATCTGTTGAACGGTCAGCTCCTCCAATCATTCCAATCATTTAGTTCAGCCGGATTGTGTCCCTTTCCAGCGGATTAAGAGCAGACGATTACGGCTCTCGTCTGGTCAGCCAACGCAGACGATTGACATAGTTGTGGCGAGATGCTGTGTCTGCACCCCTCCGCCCTTCCCCCACCCCCTAGCTTGCCTCCTGTTTGCTAGGGAGAAATTTGGTGTGTGCTTTAAAAGGGGGGGGAGGGGTGCCTTAATGCAGAACACGTGATCATGACATCATCTTCGGTGCATAGGGGTCGTCCGTAAATTAAGGCACACTCATATGGGTGAGGAGGGGGGGGGGGAGGGGGGGAATGGGTAGGGGTAGACTTTTGTGAATTTAATTGATACATTTAAATTTTAATTGGTAAATTTAATTGGTGAATTTAAATGGTGGATGGTATTTCGATATAGCAAATTTTTTAAATTTGTAAAAATATATTTCTTTAGTGTTTTCTTTTACATAAACTAGCCAGCTGACTTTATTAGCGTCAGTAATCGAAGGATCAATGATTAAATGATCAAGGCATCTGTTAGGTTTTTTTAATCATATAACACCACAAAAGGTTTTTTTTTTCAAGATGGCAGACGTTGCCATGGAAACCATATATTTTTAGAAGGGTCCCTGGTGCATGCAATCATTTGCCCTTAAGTGTCCTAACTGTGTATATACATAAATATAAAAGTCTTTTTAATTAATATTTTTTTCCAGAGCCTAAGTAGCCCCCCCCCTTTCCAACCGGGTAGTGAATACATGACCCCCCAACCAGAGGCGTCACAATCTCGTAATCAGGGTGGATAAAGTCCCCGCCCCCCTCCCCCCCCCCCCTCCGGGCTATTTAATTTTAGGTTAGTAAAATTAATAAATCGAGTGAAGTCTCGATAAATTTCATTTGGTTTAACATCAATATTTTTTAGAAGTACAAGTACCCGAAATCGTACTCTAGTTCATTGATTTCAAAACCACAATGATGGATGGTTCCAGTCTCATCCATCTTCTACATTTGTCTGAGTTTTATTTAGATTGGACGGATGTTTTTTGTGATGCACATTTTCATGCCACTATTACATCAGCTTCCTTAAGGAACATATGATGTTACCTGTTGGCCCATGTCAACTTACTGGCGAATTTAAAAATGGAGCTCACCTGCTTGTTTACAATAAAAAAAACAACAACATCCACTTCTTTATGGGATCGTGAGAGTCCTCAGAGAGTCACCAGAGAGTCACTAGAGAGTGACTAGTGAATCACTAGAGAGTAACTAGAGAGCGACTAGAGTCACTAGAGAGTCACTAGAGTCACTAGAGAGTCACTAGAGAGTCACTAGAGTCACTAGAGAGTCACTAGAGAGTCACTAGAGTCACTAAAATCACTAAAGTCACTAGAGAATCACTAGAGAGTCACACTAGAGTCACTAGAGAGTCACTAGAGAGTCACTAGAGAGTCAATAGAGAGTCAATAGAGAGTCTCTAGAGTCACTAGAGAGTCACTAGAGTCACTAAAATCACTAAAGTCACTAGAGAATCACTAGAGAGTCACACTAGAGTCACTAGAGAGTCACTAGAGAGTCACTAGAGAGTCAATAGAGAGTCAATAGAGAGTCTCTAGAGTCACTAGAGAGTCACTAGAGAGTGGTTGTGCTTCTCACCCCATCTAAAGAAATCATATCGTTACACCGGCAGGTTGTTTACAGACAGAACACGCTGTGATCTTCAGTGGCAGCGGATTGATGGATTTCCTGCAACATCACAACACGGCACTGTGGGAGCTACTCCAACCACATCACAGCTGTTGTGGTGTGACAGCACTGAACAGCAGGACAGCCACTATTATATATATATATATATATATATATATATATATATATATATATATATATATATATATATATATATATATATATATATATATATATATACTTTGTTTATCG